CACTCCAGTCTTGAAGCAGACTTGTGTGCTGGTATTAAACATATTTTAAGTTACACACTTCTCAGCATTGTGCAATGCAGAATCCCTGCTCTGCAGTCTCAGGGCTTCTTTTTCTCTCTGTGCTTCTGTACTTTTTTGATGTCAGCACTCTGTTACTTACTGTGCTATTTTGTGCGCCGTGGTGCCCTGGGGGAAGGTCAGGGTCACTTCTCCATCACTGATGTCTGGCCACTTTTTGGAGCAGAATGCAGTCTCACCACTTTACGCATCAGGAGATGAAAAATAACTTTTCTAGTTGAAATTGCAAGGAGGATGGGAGAGGGCAGAGTGCCGTTCCCTTAGCTGCATCACAGCCACGGTGCGGACCGGCTCCTCCAAAAAAATGCAGTGGGATCTTTAATGCCAACGAGTGGTCCAGCACCAGCACAGGTCTGGGATCGCATCCCACCAAACTCTGTCACATCTCTGCTGACAAGATCCACTTTCCCGTTGGTGTTCGATGGCAGTCCGTGGCAGGATTATAAAGAGCTGTTGCACCCGAAGGCAAAGAAACGCTACAGGTCCTAGATTGCTGCAAATCACATCTAGGCTTGTGAAGCCCATCTCATCCAAAGGCTTCAACTGGATTAGTTATTTTTAAACCCCACAGGAGGAGTGTTAAAAATGTGCTTTTTCATGGAAGCAGCCTTAAAAAAAAATCCGTGCTTTATGTTCTGAGGTGCTTTCTCATCATTTCCCCATCCCCTTGCTGCCTACACCCCAACGCTGTATGAAAATGACTTTGGAGACAACACAAAGTGCTGTTTCTGCAGCTTGCTTTTTGTAAATCTTAGGCTTTTGCTTTTCTCCTTTGCTGCAACTCCAGTAAGCATTTAAGATTTTGATATCTGATCATTGCTGGGATGGTGATGGAGCGATCCGAGAGAATTACGGCTGCTGTACGTGCCTGTTACATCCCTGTACAGAGCCACTGGCTGGTACTTAATAATGGATTATTAATAGCTGACAGTGGAGATCCAAATGGATGTCCTCTGTTTTTAAGGTGAAATCTTGAAGGGGTAACTCTTGCTATTACGTGAACCGACCGGGCTTTTCATACATGCAGGACAAATCTTATCGGCTATTACAGCTTTTAGGAAGCGTTGCCGTTGTATTTGTTAATGGGTCTGGCTGAAATCCAGCGCCTGGGGCCTCGGCCCCGCGCTGGGGGCTGCTGACGCCTGGCCCACAGGCGGGTGCCGTGGTCGGCCGAGCTCCCCGGCCTGACCCTTAGGGATGCACTTCGGGGATGCTGAGCTGCGCCCGCAGCCAGCCCGGCTGAGCACCGCGTGGTGCCGCTGCCACCTCCAAGGGGATTCTGTAAACCCAGATCGTCAGGGCAGTGAGAAGAAGAAACCCCCTAAGCACCTGCATCCCCCTACTCCCTTCCTAACCTGAGCGCAGAGGAGTTCAAAGCAGATGAGGTGGCTCTGACACGCTGCAGTGAGCCCCGTCGCCAGAGCCTGCTAAGGAAAAACATCCCAAAACGCAGAGAGGCTTTGTCTGAGCCTGGGAAGGACAGGAGCTTCTGCTCCCCGTGTTTTTCATCCTCCCGTTTGTTCTGCGTCTCCCTTTCCACCCTCAAACCAAGCCGCCGGGTCCCAGCCAAGCAGCCAGCGCCGTCTGCCTCCCCCGGGGGAATGACACACGGGTGACAAGGTCTCTGCCCCGCGCCGGCTCTCCCCGGTATAGGGGGAAGGGCTGGCCCCGGCCCCGCGCCCCGCTGGCACAAGGGACGGGCGCGGGGGGACGAGCAGACGGATTACCTCTGCCCCCCTTGGCCCAGGCTGCTGGCCCTGCCCCACAGGGCTTTTCTTACCCCTTATCGCAGCAGCTGAAATTCCAGTTAGGCAAAACCCAGCCACAGGCTTATTCAAAACATTTATTAGTGTTTAAGGAAAATAATAGTGTGAAAGGTACAGAGCTTTGTCTAAAGCCATACGCGTTTTCTTTTTTTTACAAGCTTATTTGGCTGCAAATTCTAGATGAGATAAAACTAGTATGTTTTTCTCCCAGAGATTTGGAATTAAGGACAGTTTGTCTTTTTTTTTTCTTTTCTTTTCTTCCTTTTAGTTCAGCACTTTAAGTTAGGACAGCATTTTCCAGGGTTTACTGCTATCTTTTTCCAGTAGGCATTTTGCTTCTCCCAGTATTTCCATTCCAAAACAAGGCTCATTCCAGATGCAAAGCGTAAAGGAAACATTCATACCTTGGCTTTTAAGCTAAACCTCCTTCATGAACAGCAAGTTCATAAGGAACGTTAATTAAAGCATCATACAGTATCTAAACGGACTTTTTCTCTCTTTTTTATAAAGAATTAAGGCTATGTAGATGTCACAATAAAATAATCTCAGGTAAAACGCACCCTATTTGTTAGATATGAAAGAAGGTTTAACAATAAATAAATGATTTATGCTGTCAATAACATTATGGAACTGTATAAAACTATATTTACGCAGCTTTAAACATAAAAAAACATACTAGTGGCATGAATATATACAACACAGGTCATAACGTACGTTTAAATTATCATAGCCAGCAGTGTTCTTTTTTAAATGGAGACACTATAATAAATAGAAATGTTAAATATTTACAATAATAGCATATGTGGAATCAGTAGATGAACACATAAAATCTTCACACACAGAGGAAAAAAAAAGTTATGCCTTATACAAAAATCCCTCCCGCCCACAGCTTGCCCTACCCCCCCCCAAATTTTCATTGCCTAAACAAGGGGGATATACAATTTTCCCCACAGAACGAATGAATACAAATAAAACTGTATGCATGCTGAGGTGATATGTTGACTGAGACATTCAAGGATGTAGATCTATATGTTTGGTTCCCATTGATGAATCAGGCCTCTAATGAGAGAGGGGTTTTATTTTAGTTCAACGCAAGAACGTTACGTTGGTAGCGAGTTGTTTCTGTTTTGCGTTTGTTTTTTTCTTTTTTTTTTTTTTTTCTTTTTTTTTGCTAAAACGCTTGGATTGTCTTTTTGGTTTGAGCTTGTTCTTCGTGGTGGCTCTGGGCGACCAAGGGGGAGAGGACGCTCACGGGAAACCCGTGGAGGCACGCTAGAAACCTTCTTATGGTCCCACCAGCAGCCACTCAGTTTTCGGAGCAGAGGAGCTGGCCATCAGAGGCAGGCCCCAACCAAAACCTTGGCAAGCTCCTCGGCGGGACAGGCTGGGTGCCCCGTCCGCGGGAGAGCCGCGCTGCAACCCAACGGGGCGGCGGGCACTCTCGCTGCCAGGAGCTCCGCTCCTCCGGTCAGCGTGGTCTTTGCCGCTACAGTACCTGCCCCGATCCCACCTCTTCCCAATTAAGTCGAATGAAAATTTTGACACAGAACTTAGCTAAAATCAGGCAGGATCAAGGTCATGTCTTCAAACAAAGACCCGGCGATCACATAGAGACACACCTTTTCAACTTAACGGTCCTCTCTGGCTTCCTACGTGGCTTCTATTAAAAGCAACGCCTATAACTTCTGCGGGTGGATACATGCATTAAACCCTGAATATAGCTATTAGGAGCTGTGTTCACTTAGCAGTAACTAAAATCTGAGTTGGAAATTGTAGCCAAGTTCCAACACCCTCTACTGTTTATACAGCTCCTTCCCACCATGCGACAAGACGTACGTTAGTTCACTGGGTACGTTCTGTCTCTACTGAACTGCCTTCCTGCCCCCACAGCTTTCCTCCCAAACTTTCTAAATGAGAAGGCTCAAATCCCTGGTGTGATTCCCACTTTCTAAGAAAACTCGCTTTTTCTCTAGAGGAAGCCGAAGAGCTCACCCTTCTGTCCCCGTGGGTGCTGTAACCTCCATTTCCAGTACAAGATCTGGGGATGTAGGATTGCAGATCTGCAACCTGAGAATTACAATTGCATAGGGGGTAGGAGAGATGTGTCCGAACACCTCATTCACACTGAAAACTGCTTAGAGACAATAAGCTCTTGACACTCTTCATCTTTAGGAACTCATTCTGCAGAGACTGGTGGCCGTTATCTGCATGGCAATTAAAAAAACCAAGCCAACCCCCTCTCCATATCTTTGGCATTTGGCTAAACCACAGCTGATAGGCAGGTTAGAGCGGGGCTCCACATCCCAGCAACGCACGCCATGCTGCTGCTAAGGAGAGATGCGTTTCTGATGGGCCTTCAACGCGGCCCTACAGAAGAACTAAGTACGTGGGGTCCTTCGCTGTCCGAGCCTACGCCCGACCTTTTAAGCTTGGGCTGTCCATACGGGTGCAGGACCTGTACCACTGAGCGGGCAGGTGTAAGCAGAGACTATGCACAGGGTTCTTAGAGGTCCGCGAGCATACTCTTGGGGGTCCTCCATACTGTGCGAGTCGTAACAGTCACATTGCCTTGTCTGGAAGCTGACTACTTGCCTTTGATACGCTGACGGGACTGGATTAGCAAGTGTCAAGTTGTGCAGTGGTTAAAAAAGAAACAGGGGGCACTTAAACTGGGCAGCATCACCCCGATGGGAACAATGGCTCAGAAGGTCGTTAAGAGAAAGCGGCGGAGCTCCCGACCGCACGGTTCCTGTGCGAGAGACCGGGTAGCTATTTCATCAGAGTGTCACATAGAGAGCCTTGAGCTCTTGCGTTCTCAGCCACAGGCAGAAACCAAATCCCCCTGGAATTCAGCCATCTGCTGTAAGGCTGCGCCCTAAACCTTCGGAGGTGCTAAGCCACAAGCGGCCACATGCAATCTGGCAGAGCCCTCTTGGAACCTTCTCCCCAGCCAAGGGGACCAAGAGAAAAAATAACAAACCCCCAAAACAACCCAACAACCCCCAAACAAGATCCTAAATTTCAGCCGATGTCCATTTCATAAAAAAGGGGAAAAGAATTTAGTCGGAGACATTTTGCCACGTTTGGTGGCTGCTCGAGTGTCAAGTTTGCTGGATTGATAACCCATTGCCACTGCTCTCCCTTTGCTACTATATACACTGTTGCTGAGGTCCATATATATCTTGCAATGCCCTGTGCTTGACCTCTGAATGGGAAATGCTTTGGAATGTCCATAGACGGGAAGACGGGACTCAACGGAGGAGGTTTCCAGTGGAGGGGGAGGATGAGGGGAACGGGGAGTTGGTGCCTTTTTTCACCTCCGGATGTCAGAGAAGTCGGACAGTTCGTCTGCCCGGTCCATGATCCCATGTGCCCCTTTGGGACCGTGGCCCCCAGCTTTCACCCGGGCATGGGCGTTCAAGTGGCCCTTAGTACCTCTCTCGCCCTTCGATGCTCGGGAGCTCTCCCTGTGGTCGGAGTCGGAGTGGGCCAGCATGTCCCCGCGGCCAGCAGCAGCTTTGCTGGCTTCACCCGGCTTCTTCTCGGGACCCAGGATGGTGTCACCGTGCACAGTCGAGGTGCAGAAGCTAAGGATGGAGCAGAGACTTCCCCAGTTCTGTTCGCACTGGGCCTGGACGCTTCTTGTTATTGCCTTTTTCACCTCCTCACCACAGGTGAGCAGGATATTCACTAGGTCAACGTAGGGCCTAGAGGTAAGGGAAAGA